GATCGCTCGCCGCCGAACTACCGGGTAAGTGTAGACCTACCCATAGCTACCGCTTCTCGGGAGGTGGATTAACTATGCCTCTTCACTTGAGCATCTTCACTTGAGTGCTGCAGCGACACAGCTGCATCGGTGCAGCTGTGCTGATGCAGCGTTTTAAGTGTGGACCTGCCCTAAATATTGCTGTTTGGTGCAAGGGACCATCTATCACAAAGGTAGGCAAGAGCAATCAGAGTGGCAAGACCAATCAGAGTATTCAAGGGGACTGCCTGTGATTTCATGTTCAGGCTGTTATAGAGCCTGAGGAGTTTACATTTGATAATTGGTTGGTGAAATCTAAGTATAGAACTCAACCAATTTGGAGTTTGTGCCCTGGTTCTTAACAGTCTGCCCTGAGGTTGGTCCTCACTCTCTTGAGTATAAAGAGCAGATTATTAAATGCAGGACAGCTTGACACAGCCAAACCAGAGTAGGATTTGTAGTAAAAAAAAAGCTATAATTTGATTACTTGCTGCTGCAAATCACAGTCTGATTGGACTTTCCTCCAATAAAAGAGATTAGCACACCCACTTTTCCTCCAATACTTTGTTACAGTCTTGGAGCTGCAAACTTAGCTGATGCTGCCACAGCCAGACAGTTTAATTTACAAATAAATCTTTCATTTCCCAGCTATTTATATATCTAAAGACAGGTCCACACACAGGCTTGGCTGATTTAAAAGAAATGTTTGAATAATGCCTGGAACACATCAAACCACTCTGTTGGGCTTTTGAGGGAAAACCCCCCATCAACCTGAATCAGCAGAGGGTAATACCAAAAGCACTGGGTTAAACAAACAAAGTACATGACACAGCATGGCATGCTAAGAGATGTGAGAAACAGAGGCAATGCACTTTCACAGAGACAGGAACTACTAGTGGAGGAACTAGATTACTGAGATTGTGTTATCTGAGCTAGATTTCAAAACAGATGGACATTATTGATATTTGTACTTCAATTTGAAACAAATTTCACCTAGCCTCATTTCTAACTCACAAATCTCAGACTGGTGGCAGTAGTGGCCTTGCAATTTATGGAGAAAAGAAAATGAAACATAAAAGACCAAATCAGAGTCAGATGTTAAAAGTGAGTCTGGCGCAGTAGTGTCAAACAGCACAAGCTGAATAGAGAGAAAGGCCACAACGCTATTTCATTTTAATTTCCTAGCGAGAATGAGATCACAGCCCAAAAATTGGGACAATGATGTTTTCTTGTTAAAACCAACCAAATCTCTAGCCCTAGCTGCTTGTGGACAAGTGATCAGGAAAATAACTCTACCAGTTGGCCTCAGACATACAAATATACTCTCAGAGGACTGCAATGGGATTTTCTTAATGGAATTTATTGCTCTAAGTCCATGAACATTTATACCACCCTGTCCAAAAGAACTGATTGAAGCTGTGATACGCACCTCCTGCCTTTTTGTACCCGGGACATGTCCACTGAGTCCCTGCTGAATATATCAAACTCATCATCCTGGAAGATGTTGTATCGAGAAGTCACCAGAGGGGTTGGTTCTGTCTTCACCTGCCTGTTAGAAAGGAGACAGAACAGAAGCCACTGAGATAAAGCTAAGAAGGGCCACATTCTCTCAGTCAATGCCATGATCTCCATGACTCCGTCAATCCCTTAACCGTACACAGCAGCACAAAGTACAAAACTGAACAGCATCAGATTGCAATAGCTCCAGTCATTTTCTGTTTCACAGCCCCAGTTAACATCCAATACTATGCTGGTCTAGAATAGAGGTCTCAAACCATGTGGCTGATCTTCATGGGGAGGCTCAAACCCATTTAGGAGAAAGCAAGGGGAGAAAATCCTTCTTTTAAGAATGGACAAAACTAGAGTATTCAATACTGAAGCACGATTATGCTCAGCAGTGACTTGGTAAAATCAACACTGTATGTATGTATTGGACTACTCTCTGGAGGAAATCCCAATAATTTGTTACGGATGGTTTCAGAAGGTAGGTCTCCCTATGGTTCCTTACTCATTCTGTCTCAAATATTTCCAGATTAAATTTTTTCAATTTACAAGTCAAAAGAGGATAATCTTTAAATTTATTATTTCTGGTGCTGGATCTGAAAAAAGTCAGCTGTGCTCTGTTCTAAGATCACCAGGAATCACAATTCTGCCTTTGCCACTTTAGCTGACAGTTTTGTTGATGATGCATGAAGCAAAACAGAATCCACCCAGCCTCCCGTAACTGTGTTAGCTCTGCAGTGCTAACAGAAATAAAAAGTAGTTTGTGCCAGCAAAGTCAGCAGATCTGATTAAAAGAGAATAAAAAGCAGATTGTTATGTACAAAACCACCATTTTATATAGTCTCTGTTCTGATAAGATTGTTTTTTTTTTAAGTTGCATCACTGCTGAACAACATACCAGACACAGTCAGCTAATGCCTTTCTGGAGTATGACTGGGCATAGCATACCATTCACATCCTGAATCACAGTTGGAAACTGCTGCTGTAGTGCATGCACATTCTACAGCTCCAAAGGCAGCTAAAACCAAGCAGGTTCCATTGCTGATTATGATTCCTAAGCCCCCAATGCAACATACAGAAAGCAGCAGAGGCCAGGCAGCTCTGTGGACTCTGATAAAAGTGGATTTGAATTGTAATTTCTCATTTCTCCTTGGTTAAAATTCTTTCTGCACAGAGTACAATTCTAGTACCTTACAATTTAACTACTCTGCCCTGCAGGGTGAATTCCACTTGAATTAGTTTCTTTGAAGATACTCCCTTCATGCAGGACTGGTGGGATTTTAATCATGAAGGACCATACCATAGCCATCTGCAGCAAATTAGTAACTTTTGCAGGTAATGGATTTGGGGCTTGCTGTATAAGAGTGGTGGCACTATTGCCCAGTACAGGGCTAAGCTGTTGTCCTCCATGACGTGATTTTGACAGGTCTCATTTTAGTGTCCAATGGACAATCATTTGTGTCACTTCATAACACATGACCCAGCCTCTGTTGTACAACAACTCAGGATGGAAAAATCTCTGGCCTCTGCAGGGAAACAGGGGAAGAGGCAGGACTGAGGCTTAGTGGCAGACAGAACTGGGCAGCTCCCACTGCAGCTACCCGCCGAGGGAAACACAAGCTCATTCAGTTTCCCAGGCACAGAGTGATTAGTAACAATCATGCAGAACAGTCCCATTAACAATCCACAACTGGAAATAAAACAACATCAAACATACTAAAACCTCATCCCCACCTTGGCATTGTTCGCTCCAGTTTGTCCAGGGATGGCACCAGCCTATCCTCCAGGATGTTGTTTATCACCTGCTCTACACTGTAGCTGTGCTCCTCCAGGCAGGCCAAGATGAAGCCCTCCCCTAGGTCAGGCAGCAGATCTTTCACTTGAGAGATCAAAGAATCCAACTCCACCCCCGAGACCTTGGCAGCGGGTGCTGCAGCTGCTCCAGCACACTATACATACCAAACACAAGGGGTGAAATTACTGAAAAGGGATCACAATACAGAGAGGGCATGTGTGCATGGAAACCGGGGCAAAGAACAGTTAGGGATATGAGAATAGAACCCAAATGGGGCACTAGGCAGAATCCATCAAGTACAGAATTAGGTATGCAGCTCTTTGAATCTGAGAGAGCTGGGATATTTTACAGCATCTTTTCCTCAAATAATACTTAACAGGTATATCATAGAATCATAGAATATTAGGGTTGGAAGGGACCTCAGGAGGTCATCTAGTCCAACCCCCTGCTCAAAGCCGGACCAATTCCCAGCTAAATCATCCCAGCCAGGGCTTTCTCAAGCCTGACCTTAAAAACCTCTAAGGATGGAGATTCCACCACCTCCCTAGGGAACCCATTCCAGTGCTTCACCACCCGCCTAGTGAAATAGTGTTTCCTAATATCCAGCCTAGACCTCCCCCACTGCAACTTGAGATCTGTGGATGAGGGGAAAGCAGTGGACGTGTTATTCCTTGACTTTAGCAAAGCTTTTGATACCGTCTTAAGTGCAGGATTCTTTCACTCTATGCATCCGAAGAAGTGAGGTTTTTACTCACGAAAGCTTATGCCCAAATAAATCTGTTAGTCTTTAAGGTGCCACCAGACTCCTTGTTGTTTTTGTAGATACAGACTAACACGGCTACCCCCTGATACTTTGCACTTGTCCTTGTTGAACCTTGTCAGATTTCTTTTGGCCCAATCCTCCAATTTGTATAGGTCACTCTGGACCCTATCCCTACCCTACAGCATATCTACCTCTCCCCCAGCTTAATGTCGTCTGCGAACTTGCTGAGGGTGCAATTCATCCCAACATCCAGATCATTAATAAAGATGTTGAACAAAACCTGCCCCAGGACCGACCCCTGGGGCACTCCTCTTGATACCGGCTGCCAACTAGACATCGATCACTACCCGTTGAGCACGATAATCTAGCCAGCTTTCTATCTACCTTATAGTCCATTCATCCAGCCCATACTTTTTTAACTTGCTGGCAAGAATACTGTGGGAGACCGTATCAAAAGCTTTGCTAAAGTCAAGATATATCACATCCACCATCTTCCCCATATCCACAGAGCCAGTTGTCTCATCATAGAAGGCAATCAGGTTGGTCAGGCATGACTTGCCCTTGGTGAATCTATGTTGACTATTCCTGATCACCTTCCTCTCCCCAAAATGCTTTACAAACAAGTCAAGCGCAATCAGTTAAGTGGAGATGATGGGAGAGAACCGTTACCCTCCCTGTCCATGCAGCTCCATACTCACATCATACTCCAAGTTGTATGCATCATCAAGCCCTTCTGAGTCCTTAGCAGCATTTTCCACCATTGCTGAAGCTCCATCAGATACCATTGGTGGAGGTTGGCTTTTAACGACTGGTGTTTTTCTCCTCTCCACACCTTCCCAGGCACTTTCCACTGCTTGGAGGATATATGCTGTCCGGGTGTCATCCCTACAAGACTGCATTAAGGGCATTTCTCTGTGCTCTAGTCCAGATTTGCCTGTTCAGACATCACATGTGAGTAGTTACGTGCTCTTTGAGGACTCCAAATCTGTGCCTACACTAGGCTTTTTTCTAACAGCTTCCCCACCATTGCTGTCACTGGTGCAGCTTAATCAGAAGTAGCAAGTGTGAGAGTGCCAGTATAGACTGTCAACCGCCACCAGCTTTTTAAAACACAGTGCAGTGTCCACCTGCTGAGAGAAAAGGATACAAGGCAGAGGATGCCTGCTGAAGCAGACTCACATCGTCTGCGACAGGAAACAGCTCATCATAGTCACAAAGAAACCTGAAAACACAAAAGCAAGTATATCAGTCAAACTGAGGAGTGAATGAACTGCAAAGCTCCCTGCTGCAATCCTTAATGCGCTGCTGTAACCTCATCAGCATGCAGTCATGAACCCCACGACCTTGCAGACACCCAGAAACAAACTCCAATGTCTATCGCCAGGCCTAGTTTTGTATTCCATCATAATCCAGTCAACCTGCCCACACCGCAACAGCCAATTATAACCCTCAACATGATGCTGTGACCCTCCAATGACCCAATGCCCAGCTAGAGAGGAGCATGATTTTGTGATTAAAACACCTGACCTGGGGGAGTTAGTAAATCTGGGTTTGATTCCCAGCTATGCCACTGACTCGCTGTGTCTCCTTGGACAAGTCACTTAATCTTGTGGTTCGGATTCCCCATCTGTAGACTGGGGACAAATAATTGTCTAACCTGACAAGGTAGCTGTGATGGTTAATTCATTAACATAGATACAGCACTTTGAGAGCCTACAGCAAGAGGTGCTAAAGAAGTGCAAAGCATTATGACAGTCTCTGGCACCACACAGCATCCTCTGCAGCACTACAATAATGCTTGTTATAATTCTCTCTCACAGAACATTTCCTAACTAGACTGAAAGATTTCTAATTCCCACATGCATCAAAGTCCCTCATATACCAATGTCTTCCGCACTTTTAGTGCTGGGAACAGATATGGGAGGACAGTTATTCCTCCTTTGGCTCCCATTCTGTTGGATTTACCTCCTCTCCTGAAGCACTGAGGTGAAGATCTGCAGAAACTCTTCAATAAAGGGCTGAATAGTCTCATAGCTGTAAGAGACAATGCCATGGAACAGTGAGAAATTGAATTCAGAGCTGTACTTTTGAGAACATCACATTCCTCCTTCTGAACCTCCGTGACCTGCCTTGCTAGCCATGTCTGCCACATGTGACGACCACACGTACATCACAGCAAATCCATGTGTTCAACAGATTTCATTCCAGTGGGATTTTTTGAGACTTTTAGTTCTAAAAAGCAGCAAATCATGAAACTGACCCAGCCTTCTCATGAGGCTTCAGTGAACATTTCAGCAAGCTGAACTTGGTCTTAAGGAAATAAGACTTTTGATAGGATTGAAACCATACTGGAAGGCAAGTGAGATTGCAGTGCGTGGCCCAAAAAGAAGTCAAATCAGAGTGGGGAGGGGAGGGGCAGGTACTTATATTCCTAATTACATTGAGATTCCTGCAAGACTGGGTTCCTTACATATGAGGTTATAGCACAGAACCTCCCAGAGAACGTGTGATCTCTCTTTTGCTCACCTGTGTGAGGGCATATGCCAAACAAAGACCACTTTATTGTATAGTCTCAACCTCCCCTTGGTTCCGGTGCATTGAGCATCACCACAGAAGCCAAACTGATGTGATGTCTGAGAGCCACCCCTTCACAGAATGCTCCTGCCAGCGTATTGATGCCATACAGATACTCCTCTAGAAGCAGGATGTGTCACCTCCACAACAGCCCCAGCTCCTGACAGCCCAGACTACCCAGCTCTGTCATTTGCTGCTGATGCTGCCATCTACCTAAGACAGCGGTTCTCAAACTGTGGGTCAGGACCCCAAAGTGGGTCGCTACCCCGTTTTAATGGAGTCGCCAGGGCCGGCTTAGACTTGCTGGGGTCCAGCCAAAGCCCAAGGACTTTAGCCCTGGACAGCGAGACTCAGGTTGGGCTTCAGTTTGGTCCCCCCGCCTGAGGCAGCAGCACTCAGGCGGGCTCAGGCTTCGGTGCCCCCTCCTGGGGTCGTGTAGCAATTTTTATTGTCAGAAGGGGGTCATGGTGCAATGAAGTTTGAGAACCCCTGAATTCTAAGGTATTAATATGGCCCCCAACCATTACCACAGTACTGTATCTGAGCACTCACAATCTTCAATGCACTTATCTTCTGAGAAAAGGCAGGACTTGGAACTGAGGCACAGAGAGGCTAAGTGATTTGCCCATGGTCACACAAGGAACTGAACCCAGCTCCACCTCAACCACCAGAGCATCATCTCCTTGAACAGACTGTACTGATGATAATTTGGGGTCAGTATTCAAGTATCAGAGGAGCTGCAGTGACATCAACAGCTCAGTGCAGACTGTCTACAAACATTCATTCCAACAGTGTTGTCATAACTATAAAGGGAAGGGTAACAACCCTCCTGTATACAGTACTATGGAATCCCTCCTGGCCAGAGGCACCAAAATCCTTTTGCCTGTAAAGGGTTAAGAAGCTCAGGTAACCTGGCTGACACCTGACCCAAAGGAACAATAAGGGGACAAGATACTTTAAAATTTGGGGGGCGGGGGTGAGGCTTTTGTTTGTGCTCTTTGTTTTGGGGGTTGTTCGCTCTTGGGACTAAGAGGGACCAGACATCAATCCATGCTCTCCAAATCTTTCTGAACAAGTCTCTCATATTTCAAACTTGTAAGTAACAGCCAGGCAAGGTGTGTTAGTTTTATCTTTGTTTTCTCAACTTGTAAATGTACCTTTTTGCTAGAGTGTTTATCTCTGTTTGCTATAGGTTTGAACTTAAGGCTAGAGTGGGTTCCTCTGGGCTCTTTGAATGTGATTACCCTCTAAAGTCATTTTCCATCCTGATTTTACAGAGATGATTTTTACCTTTTCCTTTTAATAAAATCCTTCTTTTAAGAACCTGACTGATTT